TACAGAAATGATGATGGCTCAGCAATCTGGAAAAAGGATCAAAATGAATAAAACCGGGAAATTAGGAAAAACTTAATGGCCACAGCTTCTCAAGAGATTGTGTTTGATTGGAATGATTCAGTGTTTATCAGTTTTACAGCAAATTCAGTCATATATCTGAATATCTAAAATTTGTCTGAAATGTCTGTACATACTACAGGTAGCCCTCGGCTTACAACTGTTCATTTAGTGACCATTCAAAGTTACAGAGGCACTGAAAAATGTGACTTATGACCGTTTTTCAAAGATACAATCTTTGCAGCATCCCCATTATCATGTGATCAAAATTCAGGCGCTTGGCAACTGGTTCATATTTATTACCCTTGCTTTGTCCCAGGGTCATGTGATCACCTTTTGTGACTTTCTGACAAGCAAAGTCAATGGAGAAGGCAAAATCCACTTAAAAACTGAGTTACTAACCTATCAACTGCAATGTTTTACTTAACAGTGTGGCGAGAAAGATTGTAAAATGAGGCAAAATTCACTTGACAAATGTCTCACCTAACAGAAATTTTGGGCTCCGTTGTAGTTATAAGTCAAGGACTATATTAGCTATTAACTCTCTGCTTTCAGGTGCAAAAGATTCACCTTATTTTAAAAATCATACATTATTTAAAAAATAAAAAAGCTTCTCTTTGGTACTTCCATTGACCACGCTGGTTGACATTTAAATAATTGGGAACTGTACTCCAGCAGATACAGAGAGCACCAGATTAAGGGAGACTTCTGTGAATAATTTTATTTTAAAAAATCCTTACAAAGGACATACAAATTCTCAATTAAATTTCATGGTGCTTACAGGTGCTCACAAACATAACTGCTAGAGTTGCTCCCCATAGAGAAAGACATTAATGTCCTGTTGGTTTAGCATAGCTGCAGCTAAAAGGATGTTATTTGAGTGGAGGAAAACTCAATGATTTATGTTTTTATTTTCTTTCTGTATACAAACTCAAGGTTTTGGCATCCCATTTAGTATTGCTAGTAGAAGAATGTTGCAAACTGAGGTTGAGTTTTTCTACATGCCCCAAGGGTTTGAATCAATATTGTAATAGCACGCTGTATCTATTTTGGGACTTTTAAACATCAGTTTTTAAAATAAACTCATGCCGCCTTAGAGTTTTACTTATTCCAAGAAGCAGCATAATGTTGCCTCTCGTATTTAAATCTACAAATTTGTGACATTGTTTAGAGCAGTGTTTTTCAACCTTGGCAGCTTGAAGATATGTGGGTTTCAACACCCAGAAAATTCTCAAGCAGCCCTACTGCCTAGGGAATTCTGGGAGTTGAAATCCACAGGTTTTCAAGCTGCCAAGGATGAGAAGCACTTACTTAGAGAAGGAATGCTTAATTAAGTTTCACGTTTTATTGCCTTGCAGCCTTTTGGCAGCTTGGAAGAAGTTTCGAAATTGAAAGAGAGGAAAGTTGTAGGATACAAATGTAAGTTCTGTGTCGAAGTTCATCCGACTCTCCGAGCCATCTGCAATCATCTTCGTAAGCATGTGCAGTATGGGAATGGTTCTTCAGTCTCTACTGGAGTCAAAGTGAGTTTAAAGGTTTGTTTTGGGGTTAAAACCTTGGATTCAGCCAAAGGAGGAAGAAATCCCTAACCTCTTTTGTGAATCGGACATGACCGCAATCAGAAATAATATGATAATATAATGCTAATAATATATCAGCATTTATAACATGATTTCTATGTAGATTCCCCTTTTTTATTGGACTTAAGCCTAGTTCCTTGTGGGCAGAATATATGCACCCATATTAATGTTATTATAACACAATAATGTGAAATCATAGTTGCCAGTTGTTTGCTGGTATTGGCCTTCACATCAATTCCCACCCCCCAATAATCTGAGATGTTGTAGTGTATCAGCATAGCACATGTGTGGATCCAAACAATGTAACCATTTGTAACCGCAGCTGGAAATTTTGTCAACATTTCTAATTCAAATTTTTTGATGCGGCACCCTTTGCGCCAATATTCACTAGGACCTCCATGACTGATTTGTGGCATAATCTTTTAACTTTAATTTTCAGATCAGGATACTTTGCAATCTTCTCCCGATTCTTCTATTCTATTGTCTCCTAGAATTGCCACATCAATTATCCACACTTCCCTTTCAACCACAATTAAATCTGGTGTGCTATGAGTCAAGACTTGATCAGTCTGTATTCTGAAAACTCCCAATAATTTAACCTGCTCATTTTCACCTACTTTCAACTCTATGTTCCCACCTTTTTTTTTCATTACTGGCCCAGATGTCCCAGTGAATCATTTTGGTGATTATGTTATGTCGTTGTTTATAATCAGTTTGTTTGGTCTTCAACGAGCTGAGTATATGATCTATGTTTTCTTCTGCTTCTTTCCAAATCTTCACTTTGAATCATTCAATGGTTTTTTTTTTAAATTCTGGACTTGATTGCGTTAATTTGGATAGCTTGCCCCTGATATTATCATCTATTTACAATAATGTAAAGTCAGTGCAGCCAGTACTTTAGCTGGTGATGGCTTTCATATGCATTAAGTTCTTCCAAAGAAGCTAGGATGACATAAGATAGCATATGTGCGGATCCAAGCACCATTATTATTAAATTTATATGCTGCCTGCCTCTTAACGACCCTCAGCAGCTTACAACAAATAGACATGCTAAATTGTTATTGCTCTTTTATGCAACCTTGAGAAAAGGTTTGGACTAACATCTCTAAAAGCTTTATACTAATATAGCCAATCTGTTTTCTGAAAGCTACTAATGGAGGTCTTGGTATATGCTGCCCTAGGATCCTTTGCTTTGAACTGTTTTCTGTCTTCTAAAAAAAAACAACCAGTTGTTTGCTTCCTTTTATATGAGAAGCTGCTCTTGAGTATTAGATGTAAAAACCTCAGAAGCCAGAGGAATTGGCTGCATAAAGTTTCCAAGGACAAGGCTAAAGTCGGTGTTGCTTCTATAGCGTTCTTCCCATGTTTTATTTTTAAATAAATGTTTTGTATATAATGTTATCATTTCTGTTTAGAACATTACTGCCAATTGTGCATTTATTTATATAAAATTCTTTGTAGCTATAAATTATGAAAAAGCATCGAATCAAGGCCTACTTGTCCATTGCACGTAGTTTCTACATAATTTACCTGTAATTGCTGCAAAACATGAACTTCTGTTTTTAAGTCAAAATATATCCACTCTTAAGTTTAAATTTAGTTTTCATTTAGAGACAACTTCTTTAATTAAATTTTGGTATGAGATATGTTAGTATATTAAATGAAACTTACTGCAAATGGCCCCTTATTTGCATTCTGCCATGTGTCCTATCTTTTTATGATATATGCTATTGTATGGAAAAATGCTTTTTCTTCAAATATGGCAGTAAATATTTTCTACAAGTTTATTTCCTTCCCAAGTTTTTACAGGCCACGACCAGAGTTTACATGCCTTCTGGTAATGGCAGTTAGTAAACCATCTGTGGATCTTTATTTAAGGCTGACAGATTGATATATTTTATAAATTAATGCAAATAAGTTGAATGTGCCCAGTAGGTGAGAAAAGTAATGAATACTGTGTAGTCTTTTTGATATTCTTCTTATCCCCTGCTCACCCCCGCCTCCTACCCCAAATTAAATCTAGATTACTTTACTCAAGCTTGGACTTTTTGAAACAGATCTATAGAAGCCAGTATATACTGTAGTTGCCAGTTAAATAGTTTGAAAAATATTTGTTTGGGCAAATCTTCAAAAAAATAAAATAAAATAAAATTGAAGGCTTGTAGTGTAGTGTCCTTGTGCCAGTTTTACACCAGAAAGCCAAAAGAAAGTGAGGAAACAGTCCAGTAATCTTCTGAAAGGAATATTGGCATTTCCGCAAAATTGGGACTATTCTACCTAATGAAGTGAATTATTCTTGAGGGGGAAAAAAAGGTTTTAGCAACAGTGTGCTCCAGCCATGCTAATCACCGCTAATGGAACAGCCGTATGTTGCTTTTCAAGACATCTTTGCTCAGATTGCATGGATGTCTGCTCATAACTGGATTTCAAGATTACTGCTATCAGAAGAAGTTGTTAGGCTTCCATAGATATAATGGTAACCATAGGGCAGAAGGGAGAGAGAATTGATGGCTTTGGGGGGGATGTGTGTCTTTTAGCAGGAAGCTGAAGATCCTTCACATGCAGCTTTCTTGGAGGGTATTGAGGGAGCCAAAGACCATATGGCCACTATGGAACTTGCAGAAGCTGAATCTGGACCATCACTGGAAGATGAAACCAGACCTGGTGGCTACCATTGCAGCCAGTGTGATCGGGTTTTGATGTCTATGCAGGGTCTACGATCGCACGAGAGGAGTCACTTGGCCCTGGCCATGTTTACTCGTGAAGACAAGTACAGCTGCCAGTACTGTTCCTTTGTTTCTGCATTCAGGCACAAGTAAGTCTGTACTACTTACTATTTCCGCTTCTTAATGTTCATCTGCCCATAATCTGAGGACCATACAGATTTACCAAAACCGAAGTAAATGTTCTTATTTTTCACATGTACTACTTTTACTGTGTGGTGCCCAATTACTACCAAAGGTATTATATATCGATGACAGTAAGCCCCCAGTAATTCTTAATAAGCAGTTCTTATTATTTTGGCCTTTCAACCCTTAAACTAGCCATAATTACATTATGGAAATACAGAAATTGAAACGTAAGGCCCATAAATTCTAGATTTTTGGTTATAAACTGCAATCTACATTGAAACTAGGTCATACATTTCAGGGATTTTTTTTTTAAATGTTCTGAGTTTATAACCCTCAATTTCTTACCAGCTAGACAACAACAGATTGAGTAAAGTAGTTTATTCCATATAGGTTGTACTTTATAAGATGTAGAAATGGAAAGCAGAACCATCCTTTTTCACTCCCCCACTCCACAGAACCAAGCTTATGTAGGCCTGCTATATTAAACTTCGATTTCTATTGGGTTTCTGCATTCATCCTGTGGATAAGTCCATATTTTTTTTCTTGCTTGGTTTTCTTGGTACTTGCTATAATACTTGCCAGAAAAACTATTGATGAGTGAATGTATGATTGATAGGTTAATTGACCGGATCAGAATTGTAGATGCCTGTAAAACATTTTTGCAATTTCATACTAGAATGTTGCAAACATGTATGACAGAAAAGGTAAAGGATTAAGGATAATTCTCCATTAGGAGTCTTTCCTCTCAATTCCATTTCTGTGGCATGTCACTACTGAGTTGTCTTGTGCTGGAAGTCCCTTCTTGCCTTTCTGTTTTCCTGTTCTCTATGGAAAACACTGATTACCACACTTTTCTTGTACTTCGGTTGCAACTGATGAAGCAAAAAAAGGCAGCTATGTGAAGTATAATTTTAAACATACTCAGAAGTCCCTTTCAACAAAATGCAAACTTCTGAGTAAGCTGGCTTAAGATCAGGCTTTAGTAAACAGTAAGAACCAAAAAACTAAATTCTTATCTTTCCCAACAAAGTGGAGAGGGGAGGAATATATTAAAAGTTAATCTTATATTTTATCTAAAAAATCTTAAATCAATTAATCCATTTCTTTAAATCAAACTGAAACTATTTAGAGACATACATCCCCATATACGTAGTAATGGTGCAAAAACAGTATATTTTGTAAAATTGAAGATGCCAAGAAATAAGGGAGAGAATGTAAAATGAGTTATGCTTGTCAAAATGTACAGGTGTATCTCCTGAAAAAGTCATAGAGCAGGCATCTTTTGCAAGATAAATTCAGAACTATCTGCTTTTAGATGAGAACTAGAAAGCAGGGAGAGAAAACACAAGTCTATGATGCTTCCTTTACTGGCAGTTCTTTTTAACATCCCAAATAATCTAAAGCAGGTATGTCCAACCTTGGCAATCTTAAGATCTGTGTACTTTAACTCCCAGAATTCCCCAGCCAGCATTAAAGTCCACAGATCTTAAAACTGACAAGGTTGGACATCCCTGATCTATAGCAGGCCTGTCAAACTGGTGGGCCGGATACAGCCCACACAGGCCACGCCCACCCCTGTTCCACAAAGGCGAGAAACATTGTGATATGTCACGATATGGCCCGTGATATGAGCGGGTTTGAAACCCCTGATCTATAGTGTAACTACATGTCTTTTACATTATGGAATTGGGTTTCTATGAAAAAAATAGCCTGATTTATAAGGTTAGGCAGATCTGGATTGAAGTATTGGACTGTGGCTGATTGACTGATTGATTGGTTGATTGATTACAGATGCGTTTATGCCACTTGACTCATCAAGACGCTAAGCAGTTCACAGAAGCAATGTTATATGTAATAAAACAAATGTACAAATTATAATTTTTTATTAATAGCAAATAATTAAAACTATATGACATAAAAATGAAAACACTTAAGAAACTAGTCATACTTTTTTTTCCTTCCTAGCATTTTCCAATAAGTATAGGGTGTGCATTTTTTTCAAATCAACCAAAAGTTGATTCATTGGTTGCAACAGGAATTGTCTATGTGGATTGAGAGTGTGAATGACCTGCCCAAAGTCACCCAGTCGGCTTTCATGTCTAAGGTGGGAGTAGTACTCATAGTCTCCTAGTTTCTAGCCTGGTTCCTTAACCAGGGGTGTCAAACTTGCCATCACAATGGTGTCGCGTGACGTATCGTGACTTTTTTGCTCTTCGCAAAACCGGGCATGGGTGTGGCCAGCGTGTGACGCATCTGGCCTGCGAGTTTGACCGCCCTGCACTAGACCAAACTGGGTCTCCTTAAAACTAATTATAAACCTTCTCATGTCTCAGTTCTCTAAATATACAGGTCTTTTTACAGCTTTCTGAAGGGGATGGGAATGTAGATCTTGTGGGATGGTGTTCCACAGAAGAAATATATTGGATTAGAAGGAAATCTGTTTATGGTGATGCAAATATGTCATGCATTTCATTTGCTTTAGTTATAGAAAGGGGTGGCAAAGAAATAGGCTGGATCAAAGGACCATAGCTTTACTGCTTCAAATTTAGCTGTAGGCAGTAAGGTCTTAGATGAGATGGAATGGATGCAAGGGAGGTCAGGAGATTCGGGTTGAGGTATGAAGTTTAAGGAAACGAATTAAGTCATCGACAAACATAGATGGTAAAAATGTCCCAATTGGAAGTGGAAGCTAATTAATACAAGTCTTTCAAGTTCATCTTGTCCACCTGTCAGTCTAGAAAGTTCCTTCCTTGTTTAGGTTCTTCTATAAGCCCACAGAAATAAATGATGCATTGTTATTTATCTAACAGGAAATGAAATATTTGATGGAGGTAAATCTGTAGGTCTGGCCCATTGGAATCTCATGATAGTATTTACTGAATAATTTGCTTACATAAAAACCTTTTAAGGACACAGTGTTTATAATACCATCAGGTTTGTACTTTTGTAAACATTAGGCACTAAATTTAAGATCACCTTAAACTATTATAGTCAGGCTAGAATTTTGAGGCAGAATTTCATTGTCAGCTTTGTCATTATCATCTGAAACCAAAACAAGGCAGTCTTAACTACCGCAGCAAAAGCTTTCCATTATATGCTTTTTTCCCCTGGTATAGATAAAAATCTGAGATCCATCCAGTGAAGAGTCTAATGCTGTTAGGAACATGCTGAGGTTCCACTGTCAGTGGTGGAAATGTTGTTCCTTGCAAGATCTTCCCAAAGTCTTCAGTTTATAGAAAACACGAGATCTTGCAGGTATCAGGATAGGTGCAAATAATTATCCTGCAGTTTGGTATCTTGTTAGTACTGTCTGTGGAGATCCTTAGCAGGGAACCCATGTTAAGGTACCCATCCTTAAACTGCTCTGCTCCTAAGTTTCTGAGGAGATGTGAGGGATGCATTGTTAGTGTGTACTAGCTAGAATTCTTCTGGGTTCAGCCTTTCTACCAACCATATAAATTGATACATTTTGCTTCAGGTGCACTGCACAATGAGACCATGCATTTCTAGAAAAGGATGCTTCAAAGATCTGAGAGAAGCATTGCCTTGAAGCTATTTGTGAAGCAACAAGCCATTTCTTGTAAAAAGAAGTGACCTCGTTGTTCCAGACTGTTCCGCTCTGCAGCCCTTCCCTTCCTCAGCATCCTTCACCACTTGGGGTGCATGTAGCTGCCCAGAAGCCTATTTTGGCTTTTGCGGAATATTGGAGAAGACTAGAAGGAAACTGCAAGAGAAAGTAGTCCCCTTAGCCTTCTCCAACCCTGCTGATGTCATTTTCTTGAGTTTCCTGCTGAGAAAAGCAAGATACAACAGGAAGCCTTCAAATGGATGCCAAAAGCTTCCCTAAGGCAAGTCATGTTGCCTCCTTGCTCAAACAAAGAGGACATTGTGTCTGTAATGCACCTCTAGGTCATCTCCACAGGCCTACAATCTGGATAATACTCTTAGGCATAAAAGCTGGCTGAGTGACTTCAGACAAGTCATTCCCTCTCAACCTAAGCCACCTCACAGGGTTATCGTTCTGGAGAAAATCAGAGGCCAGAGGAAAATCAGTGTGTGTGTGTGTGTGTGTGTCTAAAAGGTGGAATAAAAATATAATAGTAATATTAAATAGTATTATATTAATAACATCAATGTTAATTCATGACTGCCATGCAGGCTCCCAATTTGTATTGTTTAGCTATTACTAGATTTCCCTCAGTTTCTTTGTTTTTGATAGCACCAGCTTTTTGTATTTTAGTCCTCCTGGGTGAGTCTCCTAGGACAAGAGATTTTAAAAAAAAAATTCCTTTTGAAAAGAAAAATGAGGCCACTAGGGGGCTAATTTTATGGGAATACAGGGATGTCCTTTTCGAAACGATTCTTTAAAAATATTTCAAATAAAATTTAAAATAAATTCCTTTCGGCTCCATTTTATTATTTTAAACTTGTACTTTTTTCGGTTACAGGATTTCCTTTAGGATAAATCTCCTATTAATAACTTAAAGCAAATTGTGGAAATACTACTCTCAGTATTTTAGTAAAGCACCTGAGATAATTGATTTGTCCGTTCTTCAGTATCTTTTTTCTTCTTCTTTGTTAATATACTTATCCAAGCCAAGCATTAATCAAAATTATATTTTGTATTCTGTGAATTCAATGAAAAGTAATAATGAAATAGTCAGGTTTTTAATTTTATACTTATAGTCTCACCTCAGTATTGATAAAAGTTATATTACTTCCAATTTATCCTACCAAAGAATGAATGAATACACAACACACACAAACACACACACCTGAAGTGATAATACAGGAACAAAAACCCTAATCTTATTAGTGAATAAAAGGATTAAAAGTCATTTTCAGTCCACATGGTCAGATAAAAAGTTTGAGGAGATTAACCATACTTTTAAAAGTACAAATATCCACATTAGAAAACAGAAATGTAAATGGTGTTATAAAGTAATGACTTTGATTCTGAGCTAAAATGAAACAGAAACAAAGTTGTGTAATTTTGTATTTCATTTATTTTGTTGGGAACCGGTGTTAAAAGCGATAGCTGAACAGAGAAAGCTGTGCACAGCAACATAATACTTAAGTCAATTTTAGTGATCTATTAATGAATTCTTTCTTAGCACTTTCTCTGGTCATTTGGTGGAATAACTAAAAATTCAGAATGTTTAATATTTGTTCAGCCATAGTTTATTACATCATCTAACTTTAAATTGTAGTTCAGAATTGCAGTTAAATTTGCTTAGTGAAAGTTAAAGTAATAATACCAGACATAAATAAGACTAATCACAATTCTTCGTTTGCACTAACGATAAACTATTGTTAAGTAAAAATACAAACTAGACTTTAACTGAAAAGTTAAAGAATCAATTATCAACAAATGAACCAGCAAACATGTAGAAAACTCTTAAAAACATCACTGGCTTCAGCAAACCTCCTTCCCAGGCAGAAGGAAATCAACAACTAGCAGATGTCCTGAATGTGTTTTACTGCAGATTTGAAAAGAAACTACAGCCACCTATCTCCACAACCCACATCTCAAACACACCAACAACAGCCAAGCCTCCTACAACTGGCCCCAATCCATTGGGCTCACAATCTCTGGTGATCACAGAAAAAGAAGTACAAGATCTATTACACAGACAGAAGCCAAGAAAAGCATCAGGGCCAGACAAGATAACTCCTTCTTGCTTAAAAGTCTATGCTGACCAATTGGCCCCCATCTTCACCCGAATCTACAATAGATCACTAGAGATGTGCTATGTTCCTTCCTGCTTCAAATGTTCTACCATCATCCCAGTGCCAAAGAAGCCCTCCATCAGGGAACTGAATGACTACAGACCAGTTGCTCTAACATCTGTAGTTATGAAAATCTTTGAAAGGCTTGTGCTGTCCCACCTGAAAACCACCACAGATCCGCTGTTAGATCCCATGCGGTTTGCATACCGAGCAAATAGATCAACAGATGATGCTGTTAACATGGCTCTGCATTACATCCTACAACACCTTGAACCTCCAAATACCTATGCAAGGGTCCTCTTTGTAGACTTCAGTTCAGCATTCAATACCATCATTCCAGACACTCTTCTAAATCAATTAAACCAACTAGCGGTACCTGAACACACTTGTAAGTGGATCATAAGCTTCCTAACAGACAGGAAGCAGCATGTGAAGCTAGGCAGAATCACGTCCGATACCTGTACAATCAGCACAGGGGCCCCCCAAGGCTGTGTGCTATCTCCACTTCTCCCTATATACCAATGACTGTATTTCAAACGATTCATCTGTTAAAATACTGAAGTTTGCTGATGACACAACAGTGATTGGTCTCATTCGATACAACGATGAATCTGCATACAGACAGGAGGTTATACAACTTGCCTCGTGGTGTAACCAGAACAATCTGGAACTGAACACACTCAAAACCGTAGAAATGGTAGTAGACTTTAGAAGAAACTCTCTCATACTACCACCTCTTACAATACCAGACAACACAATATCAACAGTAGAGACCTTCAAATTTATAGGTTCTACTATATCACATGACCTAAAATGGACACCTAACATCAAAAATGTCATCAAAAAAGCACAACAAAGAATGTTCTTTCTGCGCCAACTCAGAAAACTCAAACTGCCCAAGGAGCTGCTGATACAGTTCTACAGAGGAATTATTGAGTCTATCATCTGCACCTCTATAACTGTCTGGTTTGGCTCTGCAACCCAACAGGACAGACACAGACTTCAGGGGATAATTAGGACTGCAGAAAAAACAATTATAACCCACCTGCCTTCAATCGAGGACCTGTATACTGCATGAGTCAAAAAGAGGGCTGTGAAAATATTTACAGACCCCTCACATCTTGGACATAAACTGTTTCAACTCCCCTCAAAACGATGCTATAGAGCACTGCACACTAGAACATCTAGACACAAGAACAGTTTTTTTTCCCGAACGCCATCACTCTGCTAAACAAATAATTCCCTCAACACTGTTCAACTATTACAAAATCTGCACTACTATTACTGTTAATCTTCTCATCATTCCTTATCACCCATCCCCTCCCACTTGTAATTGTAGGACTGTAACTTTGTCGCTTGTATCCTTACAATTTATATTGACTGTTTCTTAGTATGATTTGATTGCTTATTGTACCCTATGACTATCATTAAGTGTTGTACGTTATGATTCTTGATTCTTAATGAATGTACCTTTTCTTTATGTATACTGAGAATATTTACATCAAGACAAATTTCTTGTGTGTCCAATCACACTTGGCCAATAAAGAATTCTATTCTATTCTATTTTATTCTATTCTATTCTATTCTATTCTATTCTATTCTATTCTATTCTATTCTATTCTAATATTTCCTATTTCTTTTCCCTGGCTATTATCATCTGAAGGACCCTAGAAAATTGTTAGGTTTACACCTACCTCTGGCTGTTTTCTCCAAGTTAGTGTTTTACACAATAGTTGTTAAATTGTTTGAAAGATGACTTCAGAATGTATAGAACACACTTTGTTCAGGTGTGCGATTTGCGATTTTCTCAGTAAGAGGTTATATCTGAATGCATAAAGTCAGCCAGAAGCAACTCGATGTGGCTGCTTTGAAAATATGAGCTTCAAAGAGGTTTTGGGATAGTCTAAAATACCAGTGTCAAATTCACTGCGTCACGTTGCCGTCTCGTGACGTTTTTCCCATTCGCAGAGCTGGAGTGGGTGTGTCCTGTGAATGATGTATCCGGGCTGCCAAGTTTGACACCCCTTCTCTAAAACACTCATTTGAAAGGTTTTGAAAAAAATCCTGCTCTTCATTTAGATTGACATTACCAGCCATTCTGGTTGCTGACAGTTTTTATAAAATAATTTTAATTACATATTTTACTTCTGTGGTGATCATTCTGCCCAGCAGAGAATAATTAAAAACACTGGAGATACTTTTCCCCTGGGGATGAAAATTTATAGTAAGGGCATTTCTTACTGTTCAGATACATAGCCCAACAAGGAAACCAACTTCTCTCACGTATTTGCACGATTTTTGGGAGATACGGCTTACTTTTGTTGGAATCAGTATTTTGAATGGATTTGTTTTATTCATATTCTGCAGGTGGCTATGACAATCCTAGTTTCATTTTAGTTGTTCAGTTTGTTTTTTTCAATTAAATACAAGTTGTGGATCTAGCACCCCTAGGAAAATGTCTTCTTTTGTGCAAAAATTCACAGCATTTGTTTCTCCTGGTAGGAAGGAGGGACTTCAACTGTCTGCTGACTATTTTTATTTCAGCTAAAAAGTTTGAAATAAATGAACAATGGTTAGATGAAAAGAGAAGTACTTAATGCTACTGCATATTTACAAAGAGGCTTAGCTATTGAAAGTCACCTACCTCTTCTCACATGCTACAGTCATATTCACGTATGCAGGCTACAAATAGAATTATAAACTTTGATTTCAACCTCTAAAATTTTGTGTGTGTAAAAAGAGCAAGCATTAGATAAAGTTCATGGCTTCTTTAGTCTTGGTACTTAGTGTGTGTGTGTAAGAAACACCCCCTGGTTTCTGCAGCAACATTTCTGCAGCACACAGTTGCATCTCTCCTTGATTTCCAGAAGTCTCCTGGAAATCTCCTGTGTTCCTGGCTTGAAATTAAAATGTTTGTAGAGCTCCTGTTAAGTTTTTTATTTTTTTATTTTCCATGTTGAGAATCTTGTTTTGGTCCAGACAGTCATGTGATTTTTAGTTATGTTTTTAATATATGCATTGGACTTACAGTATGTTGCCAAGAATCTTCATAGAGTTAGGTGGCCTTAACAAATCTAATAAATGAATAATACACAACGTCTCAGTTTAATTATTTTCATATTATCAATGGTGTAACTATAGTGGTGGTGCAAGTGGTTAGAATGCAGTATTACAGGCTAATTTTGCTGTAGTTCGATCCTGACTGGCTCAAGGTTGACTCAGCCTTCCATCCTTCCAAGATGGTTAAAATGAGGACCCCAGGTTGTTGGGGGAGGAGAAAATACTGACTCTGTAAATGGCTTAAGAGAGTGCTGTAAAACATTATGAAGTAGTATATAAGTACTAGAAGAAGTGGTTACCTTGGTTCTTGTGGGCTGAGATTTCGGTCTTAAAATAAAAATAAAATAAAATAAAAAAATAAAATTATAAAAAATAAAAAAATAAAATTATAAAAAATAAAAAAAATAAAAAAAGATGGACCTGGCCACAGGCAGGTATAGGACCAATGTACATGGTCCAATGAGGAGAAGCTAATTTGACCAGAGAGCATATCGGATATAGGTGACCACTTTCTTCCTTTCCTCCTCAGCCCTTCAGGAGACTCAAATCTACTCTTCTGGCAGAGGTACAGTTGTGTGATGCTTCTCCTTTTCTTCTTTCTTTCTGCCCTGAATTGCTACTGCTTGAGCTTTCTAACCCATCAACGGGGCCACTGGAGAGATCTGGCTTGCAGCTCAGGGGGCTAGTGGTGGTAAAGGTATTAAATTAGGAGAGGAGAGACCAGTTTCTTGCCCACTCTCAGTTGCGTAAACTCCCTGGTGACTTTGGGCCCATCATTCATTCTCTGTCCTACCCAGCACATGGTGATGCTATTGAAGGGGAAATTGGAGGAAGGAGCTCTTAAGTATGCTGCTTTCAGCTCCTGAACAAAAGGCAGGGTATAAATCCAATAAATAATATAATATTCATGCTCCTCCACCTCTTCTGCAGAGCACCTTATCTGTGAAAAGAAAATGAATCTGTGTCGGTGCAGGCGGTATGCAGTAGATGTCTTTCAGTCATCCCATACTGGTTGAAATGATTGATATTTTTGCTTCTTTCTTTTTTTGCTTCCCATTGCTGCTTTTCTCCTGCCAAGTTTGGATCGCCATATGCAAGCACACCATGGACATCACAAACCATTCCGCTGCAAACTCTGCCCTTTCAAGTCCTCGTATAATAGCCGGCTGAAAACTCACCTCCTCAAAGTCCATGCTGGTAAGTCTCTTCCCGAGATTCATAAAAAGAAGGTCCCCTTCCTTTTTTTTTTTTTTAACCCTCCCTCACTGTTTTCTGCTGCTGTAGCCTCATCAATTAACAGTAGCTTGCAGCCTTAAAGTGAGCCTTGGGGCCAATTAGGGGGAAAGTGCTTAAGTTAAGCTAATTCTCCATTCAGCAAATCTTAAGCTGGAATTGAACCAACTGAGTTAGGTGATCCTAAATTAGACACAGGCTGGAACTTAATTCCAGAGCCATAATTAAACTTCTACTAGGGTGGAAACCAGGGCAAGAGGTTGAATTAAGAACTTAGGCTGCAGCAAAACAGCCAGCCCCTTTGGATAGCAAATGTTAATCAGGTTGAAATAAAAGGGCTGTGCCAAATGTTCATATTCAGATTATGTGGTGTAATTTTACACTTTGTTTTGAGCCTAGTCATAGCCATTATTCCTTGCGTACTTTGTCATAATTGTATGTTTACAGTCTGCTTTTTTGGTAACTGCAAAGATCCCATATTGGACACTTTTATGAGGATATGGACATATATGATGTCGCTGTATGGTTCAGTGAGAATAAGCAACAAGAATGGAGTGCACGCTTTAATAGACATTCATGGACCGTTCGTCATGCTTAAATGTACATTTTGAAGCATGTGTATTCTAAGAAATCACATTCAGATAGGAATCCCAGATAGGATCAGATAGGATTCTGATAGGAGTTATGTATTAACCCAAGGAGCCTTGGAGATCTCCAGGGAAGACTTTATAAACTTTGAATTTATGGTCTCCTTTAAAATTGTGGGAAACCATGAATATTTTAATAAGTAATATTTAGAAACCTAAATTCTAGTAAGTATTACAATGTGTAGTCTGTTCAGTAAAGCACAGAGAAGTTAGGTGAGTTTATTAAATGAGAATTTAATCTGACAGTTATAATTTTGACTGTGTTCTTCATCAGCAACATAACTAACAATAGCTTGAAAATAATTAAGTACCGCCTGCCAACTCATTAGTTTATGGACATACATTTCAAAACCAAGAATTTCAATAATAGCTGTAGGCTTTAGAGATTTCTCTTCAAAGTTAATGTTGTTGAGAAAGATACAAGTTTGTTAAAGCAAACATAGTTAGAAACTTCTTACTTAAAATAATATTACCAAATACTGGATATGGTAGTTGCAAATTTTATTTTTTATAGTTGTACCAATGATCATTTTTGTAAGTCTTAGTTCTTTGATAAGTATAGCATAGTCATTGTCATTGATTGGCTGTTTTGTTCTGTCCTATTACAGGTTCGTCTCTGATAAGCTTTGGTTTTATTTATCAATTAGTCCCAAAAAATTTGGGTGGGGAAGAGGGTAGCTTTGGTTTCATGTGTCAATTAGTCCAAAATAAATTGGGTGGGGAAGAGGGTAGATTGCCCCCATCATTCAGATTTCCAAGCTCCTTCCAGGTGATAATTGAGTGATAACTCTCTACAATTTTGAGATCAGATCTTTAGGAAATTATATTGCTGAAGGTGTGCCCTGAAGTCAATAATTCCAGTTTATGTTCTTTCAGGAATGTTTAGCCAATATTATAACCTGAAAATACTTGCATGAGATTTTCAATGTTTGTGTTCCTCTTTTAACATAGCCATAAGTATCAAGATGTGGTTATGTGATCTTCATTGTGTTCTGTGCTGCTACAGTTTTACCAAAGTTTACACATCAGGATCATATGACTTATTTCTACCTTGACATTTTTTTCCTCTGTGATTACATTTCTATACAAAACTGGTATTTTATTTCAAAGCTAGACATGACAGAGGTACTATTTTTATTCAGTTCTATTTTGATTGAGTACAGAATTAACTTGTGGAATTTTCTAGCACTAGATACAGTATTGGCCACTAGCCTAGATGGTTTTAAACATGGGTTGAGCACATTCATATACATGGCTAATAATCTTGATAATTAAGGTAATTTCTGTGCAGTGTCTCTGAATGCCAGCTCTTTTATCTAGTCAGTAGAGGAATGGTGGCTGCTTGTACACTTGTTTATACATATCCTGAAGACATTTATTCAGCATTATAAATGGACTTGTACACTAGAATCTTATAGTTGAAAGGAATAGTTTTGGAATAAACTAGATTAGCCCTTTATTCTAACGTAATAAAGTTGTACTTGAGAGCCCAGGTATACTGCACTGTATATTTTTTTAATATTACTAGGTGTTCATTTCAGCTGACTCTTAAATGGAAAATGATTTGGGGATTTCTTTTGAAACTTTAAAAAAAAACAAATGAAGTTTTTTTGAAATGCTATTATATTTCTTTGTAGCCACGGATCCTACTTAGGTTTCTTCATTTGATTTGCTACTGATATTTTCTGTAGATTTTCTGAGATTCTTGACCTAATGTATATAAAGCAACTAATCCTTCTGAAAGCAGTTTAGGCCAGTTAATTGTCTCTTTGTAGAATATCTTTTGTTTGGTGTTTAATGTCAAAGGGTTTGTTTGGATTATTGAATTATTAGCTGCATATCCAGAAGTAGAGCAGGAGGGCTGGAAGCATTTAGTGACTCTTGCTGAAGTATATTTTGGGGTTATATGCTGCTGTCTTAAAGGAGGAATCAAATAATACCTTTCTGTACTAAAAAAAAACCCGAGCCTCTCATAATATTCTCTGATGACCCCCATATTCTATTTTCTATTTTTATTCTAGATAGCTCACTTTGAGGGATGCAGAACTGTTTTGTTATTTTAACATTTACCCTAAACATTCACATCTATGGAACTTCTGTTTAGTGAACGAACTTAGAATATGAATGTTATATGTAAACCCATGCTCATCCTGCTGTAGACTTTGGCATTTTTGCCTTTAGTATTTAAGCATTTGGAAACAATCATTTTTCTATCATCAGTTGGCTGATGTTCTTGTTTATAAATATATTTAGCAAAGCATTTTAAGGAACTGTCATTTGTTTTCCTCTTGTCAATTCTTATTCTCATAGTCTCATGTTGTAACTTCTGGCTGAAGTGTGCGTTTTGGTCTGCTGGGATTGTACTTAGAAGAAACACTAGAATCAGTTCATGGTGGGTATTCTTATTCACATGAGTATCTCATGTTTCCTGGTGCAGAAAAAGTCAGCAGCTCATTTATCTGAATGTACAATGCAGGATCCAATCTGGGTCGGTCACCGAGACCAGAGGTTTAATCTTTAGAGCTTTCAGAAATGTGCTGGGGCCCAACCTCAGGGAATTTCTGGTGAGAGAGAACCGTGAGGATGGACTCCAGCACAAGTTTAGAAGCTTGAAAGACCACTTCTGGTCCCGGTTGGATCCGGGACATTATCCTAGGACATGATAATGTAAAATATACAATCTTTCACATTAGAGACAGTTCTGTATAGAGCAGGGGTGTCAAACTCAAGGCCCAGGGGCCAGATTCAGCCCATGGGGTGCTTAGATCTGACCCGCGGGCCTGCCCTGGAAACAGCAAAGAACTGGCTCATGGTGCCTCTGCCAGCGAAAAGGGAGCTTGGGAGGGTTATACACGGCCCTCCTGAGCTCCATTTTGGACCATGGTGGCCTCCTGCAACCTTCTGCCAGCAAAAACGAAGTCTGGGAGGGCCGTCATAGACAAAAACGGAGCCTCGATGAGTGACATCGAGCTGGCCATGCCACCTTTGCCACGCCTCCTGGCCCCTGGGGTCAAACACAACCCTGGTGCGGCCCTCAGTGAAATCGAGTTTGACATCCCTGGTATAGAGGTTAAGGCACCAGGCTAGAAACTGGGAGACTGTGAGTTCTAGCTGTGCCCTTGGCAGCGTGACTTGAATTTTGCACCAGTCATTCTCTCTCAGCACTAAGAAAAAGCAATGACAAACCAGTTTCCAAATCTTTTGCCAAAAAATGCAGTACTTGTCTAGGCAATCACCATCAGTCAAAACTGACTGACAGCACAACAACAAATATTCCATGCAATAAATATCCTTTCAATCGTATTGTTTTGTGAGTTCCTTCCAGCTCATCTTTCCCCTGGCGAATGGCAGGAAGGTTGAATGGGCAGACCTGATCCATAAATGTTAGTCTGCCTCAGTAGAAAAAAAAATGATTTGTGTTCATATAGTAGTTCTTGAAAACATCATTCATACTTTGTAATGTCTTGAAACAGCCATTTTTTCCTCCACCTAAATGTCATTTTGCTTTTTAAACTGAAATTTTGTTCATCATAAACAATTACCCTAAATAAGCATTATTATATAACATCCACCAGATCTTGGAGCAGTCTTGCTTTCATGTCAAAGACAGCGTCCTTGTAAAATTTGAAACCCCTTTATCACTTAATTCCTAATTGCACTCCTTTTCGTCCTTTGATCCTTTTGCACATTTTTCCATCTAACATCATTACATTCACTTATTCGTGCATCTTCAAATGGTCTCAGTTGCTCAGGCACCAAAACTAGTTGCCCCATAATTCTATTATGTTGCATTAGATCTGTATAATGAAAGATTATCAGAATGTAAGATGGGTTAGAAGTCATAGAATCATAGGGCTGGAAGGGACCTTGGAGGTCCTCTAGTGCAACCCCCTGCCCAGGGCAGATGTCTTTATTCCATCCCGGACAAATGTTTGTCCAGTCTTTTCTTTAAACTTCAGCTATGGAATACCCACAACTTCAGAAGGCAAGCTGTTCCATTGATTAATTCTCAGGAAATTTCTGCTTAATTCTAAGTTGGATTTTCCTCTGATGAGCTTCCATAAATTGCTTCTTCCTTGCCATCAGGTGCTGAATTGGCTCTTTGGGAATCAGATTGAAGACAACTAGAAAGTAGAAATTATTTCCAGTAGGCCATCTACATGAGGCTCATTCCTCAATGACATATACTTCATTGTTCTATTTTTCTATTTTATTTATATATGCTGCTCTTATGACTTCGAAGAATTATAAATGTCAGGTGGTGGTAATGGTGGTGGTGGTGTGTGTGTGTGTGTGTGTGTGTGTGTGTGTGTGTAATTGAAGTAAAAGAATACTGAGAATTTTTTTTTAGAGAATTACATGAGAAGAGTATTGATATGCCAGACAGTGAAATTGAAAAGAATGTTATCATTGTTAGTGCTTAAGGAAGAAAAAAAATGATGAAAAGCATTTAATACATGCTATGAGAATGTTGGAAAACAGTAAAGCTGCAAGTATAGATGGTGGAACTGGAGAAATGTCAAAAGAGGGATGTGGTTTGGAGTGGCTGTGCATTTATATAATGTGTGTGAAGATTTCATCTGTGTCTGATGATTGGAAGACTGCCATTATGTTCCTTTGTACAAAGGGAAATATAACAAGAAAGAATGCAAGAATTACACAGCAATTAGGTTGTCTCATATGCCTGGGAAAGTTTGGACAGAATTCTGATCTCAGAATGTGGCACTGAGCAGAATTTGATAAATGCATATGGTGCTATGCCAGCCAGAGGCTTAGAAAGCAGAAGTTTTGTTTTTGAGCGGGTTAGTGAAAAATCTATGAACTTGAGAAAGAAAGATTATAATACTGATTGATGTATAGAACAATGCTAAAATATTGAATTAATTAAGGGATATTTTATAAGAATATAGAGTTGAAGGCTGCTGAAAACAGTCTGTTGCATGTAAAGTATGTTCAAGAATAATAAGAATAATGAATAATAGAAGAATAAATAAATGCTTAAAAGATTTTAAAAGGTTGTGATATTCCTTTGGTTATTTAATACACTGCTCAAAAAAATAAAGGGAACACTTAAACAACACAATGTAACTCCAAGTCAATCACACTTCTGTGAAATCAAACTGTCCATTTAGGTAGCAACACTGATTGACAATCAATTTCACATGCTGTTGTGCAAATGGAATAGACAACAGGCAGTTAGCAAGACATAGCAAGCATAGGCAGTTAGCAAGACATCCCCAATAAAGGAGTGGTTCTGCAGGTGGTGACCACAGACCACTTCTCAGTTCCTATGCTTTCTGGCTGATGGTTTGGTCACTTTTGAATGCTGGCGGTGCTTTCACTCTAGTGGTAGCATGAGATGGAGTCTACAACCCACACAAGTGGCTCAGGTAGTGCAGCTCATCCAGGATGGCACATCAATGCGAGTTGTGGCAAGAAGGTTTGCTGTGTATGTCAGCATAGTGTCTAGAGCATGGAGGCGCTACCAGGAGACAGGCCAGTACATCAGGAGACATGGAGGAGGCCATAGGAGGGCAACAACCCAGTATCAGGACTGCTACCTCCGCCGTTGTGCAAGGAGGGACAGGAGGAACATTGCCAGAGCCCTGCAAAATGACCTCCAGCGGGCCACAATTGTGCATGTGGCTGCTCAAACGGTCAGAAACAGACTCCATGAGGGTAGTATGAGGGCCCGACGTCCACAGGTGGGGGTTGTGCTTACAGCCCAACACCATGCAGGACGTTTGGCATTTGCCAGAGAATACCAAGATTGGCAAATTCGCCACTGGTACCCTGTGCTCTTCACAGATGAAAGCAGGTTCACACAGAGCACATGTGACAGACGTGACAGGGTCTGGAGACGCCGTGGAGAACGTTCTGCTGCCTGCAACATCCTCCAGCATGACCGGTTTGGCAGTGGATCAGTAATGGTGTGAGGTGGCATTTCTTTAGGGGGCCGCACAGCCCTCCATGTGCTCGCCTGACTGCCATTAGGTACCGAGATGAGATCCTCAGACCCCTTGTGAGACCATATGCTGGTGTGGTTGGCCCTGGGTTCCTCCTAATGCAAGACAATGCTAGACCTCATGTGGCTGGAGTGTGTCAGCAGTTCCTGCAAGACGAAGGCATTGATGCTATGGACTGGCCCGCCCGTTCCCCAGATCTGAATCCAATTGAGCACATCTGGGACATCATGTCTCGCTCCATCCACCAACGCCATGTTGCACCACAGACTGTCCAGGAGTTGGGGGATGCTTTAGTCTAGGTGTGAGAAGAGATCCCTCAGGAGATCATCCGCCACCTCATCAGGAGCATGCCCAGGCATTGTAGGGAGGTCATACAGGCACATGGAGGCCACACACACCACTGAGCCTCATTTTGACTTGTTTTAAGGACATTACATCAAAGTTGGATCAGCCTGTAGTGTTTTTTTTTTCACTTTAATTTTGAGTGTAACTCCAAATCCAGACCTCCATGGGTTGCTAAATTTGATTTCCATTGATAATTTTTGTGTGATTTTGTTGTCAGCACATTCAACTATGTAATGAACAAAGTATTTAATAAGAATATTTCATTCATTCAGATCTAGGATGTCTTATTTTTGTGTACCCTTTATTTTTTTGAGCAGTGTATATTTCTGCATATAAAGTATATATATGAAATACATTTGTTGACATTAGAGATACGTTTATTGGGAATGTGAATGTCTGTACATTTCTGTAGAAATAATGCTGAGCTGTTGGCTGAGGACCCAGATGATTTGCACTTAATATTGTGAATTCTAAACTTTAATGTATTAAAGATCAAAGTAGTTATCTTTGAGAAGAAGAATAAAGTTAAGCACTGCAAGCTGTGCAAAAATCATGAAAAACAAGAACAAGGATTTTTTAGATGAATTTGTGGGCCTTGGTAAAATATTTATCAAAGATGGGAAACTGAAAGTACATAGAAGTGATTTGGTCCGAAAGAATGAATGAAGTTAGGAACAAAAAAAAGTGGGTCAAGAGAAAACAAAACACTGAAAAGGTAATGTTTGATAACGTTGAAAAGATCTTCAAAAAAGAGAAATTTAAAGAAAATACAGTGGATAGATGTGGTGGATGCAGGGATGAATCCCAAGTATAGAAAGATAAGGAAAATTACGGTGTTACAGGTAAATCTTTATTTAACAATGGAAATTGGGACTAGATATTCCATCACTAAGCTGTCCATTTGTTAAGCACGATGTCATACAACTGTGGTGGTTCGTGACAACAATTCTGGCTGCCCCAGTTGCCATCATTAAGTGACAGCCACACAGTTGTAAAGCAGAGACATCACATGACTTGTGATTTGCAACTTCTGGTCGGCTTTCCCATTGACTTTGTAAGAAGCCGGCAGGGATGGTTACAAATTGTGACCACATGACCATAGAACGCTATGATGATTGGAAATGCAGGGCGGTTACTACATGCCCTAATCGCAATCACATGACTGGGGTTGCGCTGTAATGGCTGCAACTACAAGGACCAGTTGTAAGAATCATGTAAAAGTGCTATCGCTTATTAATGGTACTTAACACCTACCAATGAACAAGCGGGAACTACTGGTCTAAGAATTAAATTTCCTTCTCCTTTTGATATCTATGCTTTTAATTCCTCTGGGTTATATTTTCCTGTTCCTGTTCTGCACTTACCTTGCTTCCCCGGGAAAGAAATAATGTGATGGGCATGTAAGTCTGTATGTATGATGCCCAAATGTCAAGTTCAATTCAAGTAAAAGGATTAATTAATAGTTACCAGTAGACACACTAGGAGAGTTTACAGTTTCACCCCTGGACTCATGACCTCAATCAACACGGTACAAGTAACACATCATTAATCATGCTAATGAGGGTTATTATCATTTAAGTACTGTTTGGCATGAATATTACGTTTTCGCTATGTACTTTAGCCCCTGGTATTTCCCTTCTTATCTCTTGGAGATTGACTTGCTTCCTCAAGCGAAGCTGCTCCACCCCCATTTTCTGCCCCTTTAAGCAATTTTTGTTAGGCTTTGCTGTCCCATTGATATGCCATGCATATAGGGAATTTTCACCATGGTTAACAATCAGCAGTTCATTTATCTGAATGTACAATTTCTCATATTAGAGACTCTTTGGTACAGCGCTTAAGGCACCAGGCTACAAACTGTGTTCTAATCCTGCCCTAGGCAGTGTGACTAAGACTTGGGGCTCATTGTCTCTCAGCACTAGGAAAATGCAATGACAAGCTACTTTCCAAAACTTTTGGTTTGAAGGAAAGAACAGCTTCTAGTATGTCAACCAAATTTCAGCATTGGTCCTGAGACTAAAGGAAATAGGACAGTTCCAACGTTTTTATTCTGTAGGATTACCCAAAGGAGGATCCCATGGAATTTCGTTAGGACCCATTGCTGATTCCATTTGAAGCAAAATACCCCCCTCCCAAGCTTCCTTTCTCACCCCTCTACTTCCCACCCCCTCCTGTTATCCTGTGAGCTGATGACTTGCTTGTTGTTTTGCTCAAACAGGTGAACATGCGTACAAATGTTCCTCCTGTTCATTTTCCACCATGACAATCAGCCAGCTAAAAGAGCACTCCCTGAAAGTGCATGGGAAGGCATTGACACTACCAAGACCACGAATTATCGGCCTTGTAACCTCGCATGCCTCCAAGAACCACACTACTGCTGAAGAAGCGGAAGACTCGAATGGTAAGAGGTGCTCTCAGCACCCCCCCTTCCCGCCCTAGGGTTCTAGAGGGAGAATCTGTTTTCTTCTCTTCATGGGGAAAAAGTCTAATTCAGACGTGATTTTTTTTTTCACTTATAGAGGGGGAAAAAATCCCTTCCTACCTAAGCAAATTGGATGTTGATAGGCATAGGAGAGCAGAGCTCGTTCACGCTTTTATCCCTATAATTGGCACGTAAACAATTTAGATTTCCCTGCGTTTCTTCTTTAGGGTCTTAGGATACTCCATTATCAATACTTTGCAGCTTTAAAATGAAGAAGCAGAAGCATTACAGACTTTCCCTAGTTGAGGATTATGTTGTTGTGGAAATGAGGCTAAAATGTTTGTTGATCCTTGGCTGTCACCATTCATACATTAGCAGCAAGAGGTGTTTGGGAAACAAATTCGTTGATTCATTTTTAAGCAATGCCATATGGGAACCTGAAATGTTAGCCATAGTAAAGAGCTGCGCCCTGCTATCCCTTCTCTCAACACATATTCTCTTCCTTATACATTCTGACATTTTCTGAACTAGCCTGTGAAAACATCTATAAAAACCAGATAGCAAGTCTCGGAGGTAGCTTTATCAAAAATTTCTAAACACCATAAAGATTAATGCTGTGAACTGGTCCACCGCTTCCGCTATTGGGGTCAATGTATGTTACAACTAAGCTGGCCTCATGATTTTTGTGTAGCAAATGTGGCACCTGTGAATGGAATAGTATGGCAGTAATGCTTAGTACAGTTAATTTCCTAGAATTCTATGACTTTTCCATAGAACAGATCGTTTAGAATTTGATAACTTATTTTTAAAAGCATTATCAGGTTACACACATTTAATAAAGTTTGGTTTATCGCGTGTTAGATTGTGTAAATTTTGGCATCTAGCTTAATCTTAGGTCAGGCAAGTTCTTTAGTACTATATCTCTGCCTCAGACTGTTTTAGTAGATCTTTCTGTCAAATGACAATTGTATTTGGTTATAGTTTTTTTTTCTGGTGATTTCTAGAGAGAATAATTAATCCTGATTTAAACTGAAGTAGTGAGTAAAAGAAGCATTTTTTCCTAGCATGAGGCAAAAGGGGTGTGAGGGGTTGTATCTTATTCTTTATTAGGGACTGACATAATTATCTTTGTTTTTATAAAATATTTGTGAGATGAGCAAAATAAATCTAAGGGCTTTGGATCTTGGAAAAAAACAAACAAATCTGTATTGATACTATCAAAAGGCAATTTCTTATATAAGCAGCAATATTGTCCGTGTTTGCTCTCAATTATAAATGAGTTCAGATATGCCAGGAGTGTCAAACTCACGTCATCATGACAGCATCACACGATGTATCGGGACTTTTTTCCCCTTCGCTAAACCGGACGGTGTGGTCAGCGTATGACGCATCCAGCCCACATTTGACAGCCCCGAGATATGTGATGGTGAAATATACTTTTTTTTAAAAAAAGTATAATTATATACCAAGAGACTATTAAGCGGGGGGGGGGGGGGTTATTCCCAAACAACTTGATATTGGCCAAGGGGTTGGGGAATTCATTTATTTTAAATAATGTTCCTAATAATGAGAAACCAGCCCACGTATTAGCAAAAAGGATGTCTCTGTTAGCCAGATCAGCTTACAGAATTAGAAGGACTGTTTTGTGGATATCCACTCACCCTTTACTAATGGGTTTATTAATCACATTATTTTTGACAATTATGGAAACAGCCGACCAAGGGCCTGTCAGAGTACAGGTGCTGGAGTAATGAAATTGACACCCTCAGCCTCATTTGATAAAGGGAGAAATCCCACCAGTTATTTTTCTAAATTTTATACTGCTGGACATTAACTTAATTACAGGTAGTCCTTGACTTAAACCATTTTTTCGGCAACTGTTCGAAGTTATAGCTGCACTGAACAAAGGCAATTATGACTAGTGCCTGAAGTTTCTCTCATTGCAGTGTCCCTGTGGACACATATGATAAAAATTCAGGCACTTGGCAGCCCACCTGCACTTACAACTCACAGGAGCACTTCAACTTCCTCTACCAATCTTATTTTCTCCTCACATCTATGCCCTGCTTGCTAATCAATATGGTCACTTGGCATTCTATTTATGGTTGCATAGACATAGACATAGAATAACAGAGTTGGAAGGGACCTTAGAGCATTACTTAGCAACAGAAATCCCAGTCCCAAATATGGTTATAAGTTGAGCTCTACCTGTACTTCCTTGAAGTGATTTCAGTTTCTAGAAGGGTTTCGTATATAGAACAAGTTCCACAAGTTGGCTTTACTACTAAATTGCTCGCCTTTGCTCATTGGTATATAAAGTTATTGTCATGGCTCCATCAGAGACTGGGTCCAAGAAAGAGGAGGAAATGGATCCGGGGCCGACAGTGGAAAATGGAACAGCTTCTCTGGCCGTGGAGGAGTGACTGGAGGAGCAGGATGAGGCAGCCCTGGGTCCCTCGGGCCTGGGAAGGGTCGCCAGAGAGGAAGAGAGGGCACAGGACAACCGAGCAAGGGGGGAGGAGATGGAAAAGACAGGCAGCAGAGTAGAGGAGCGATGGAGCTCCAGAGAAGAGCAACTGTCTCTCCCGCCTGATCCCTGAGAATGGAGAGGAGGCAGGATCAGTATAGTGCAACTCGGGAGGAGGGCGCCCCGCCCCTCATCCCCAGGCTTACCTGGAGAATAGGAATTAAGGAGATACTGGGGAGTGGCGTTCGTTGGGAACAAGCATTGCATTCTTCCAGGCACACTTGTGAATACCGACAACTTGCTGCCTTGCTTTGCTTTGCCTTGCCTTGCCTTGCCTTGCCTTGCCTTGCTTTGCTTTGCTTTGCCTTGCCTTGCCTTGCCTTGCCTTGCCTTGCCTTGCCTTGCCTTGCTTTGCCTTGCCTTGCTTTGCTTTGCTTTGCCTTGCTTTGCTTTGCTTTGCTTTGCTTTAATTCAGCTAGCCTGGCCTGGCTTTGTGCAAGCGCACAGCAACACCGCTCTGCTCTGGGTTTTTGCTGCAGCCCCAGTGAATTTTCCGAGCGACAAGGATGCCCCATGATCAGATTTTACGTACCGCTTCTGCTCCCAGGGACTGTGCTGCTCTTCTGGATGTATAGCAACCAAGAACTATTGGAAGCCTGTAGGCATGTTTAGAGCTCTGCTCTTGAATTTGCAGTGAACTGTGAGGATTTGGGGTTGGAGCAATAAAAGGGAATTCAGCCTTCGCTTCGGTCATGTCGCTTCCGTGCCCAGCAATTATATGGTTGCGTAAAAATACAGAAAACTTTATGCATGTATGGGACCAAGGACATAAGTGTTTGGGACCTCTTAACATTTATAACTACAGGTAGTCCTTGACTTACAACAGTTTGTTTAGTGACTGTTTGAAGTTACAATGAAAAAAGTGACTTAAGACCATTTTTTCTGTAGCTAAGCAAAAGTCACTTAACAACTCGCTTGGCAACAGAAATTTTGGTCTCAATTGTAGTCGTAAGTCGAGGACTACCTGTAATTTGTATTACTTTTTTTAAAAAATTTTTTTAATTTTCTATTGTTTACATTTATTAGTGCTTAATGAACATCGTGTTGTCTGGATATTTAATTTGCTTAACAATACAGATTACATTCTTAATCTCCACCCCTTTTTTTCCAACCACTGGTAAAATAAGTTCCGTGTTTGATAATATTCTGTGTCTTCTTTCGGCTGTAATTTGTATTATTTGTCAGACTTCCTTAGATATGCAGATTACCAAGCAGATATGCAGATATGTACTACCAAGCCATTCGTTAGGTTCCATTTAGTTCCAGTATCTCTAGCAATATAACCACATTTCCTTTTAGGACTGGGACTGGTTCTTGTGTTTTAGTTTAGTTGTTTAGTTTAGTTTATTGTAATTGTACCTCGTACAATGAAATTAAATGCCATCTTCAGAGTATATTATGACTGAAAATAAACACAAAAACACATCCTTTCCATTCTATACATTGAACTGAAAACCCCTGATATTGCATCAATATTACACTATACAGTTTTCTAGAGCAACGGGCCCAACTTTTTGGGCAACAAAGACCGGTTTCATGGAGAGTGTTTTTTTCTGCAGACCAAAGGGGGCGTGGTTTCACCTGCTGCCTGTGGATGGGGCATCTCTTGTGTGTTGCAGCCCGATTTCTGGCATACTGCGGCCAGGGGTGGGGGACCCCTGTTCTCGAAGAGCGTGGAGCTATGTCAGTGAACCAAAGGGATTATCGAGAGCGGACCAAAAATGATTATATACCTCTTCCATTTCAGCCAAAGGCTGTTGGCTAGCAAACAGAATAGCCAGAGAGTGAGATCCAGCAAGCAATTGAACTTTTGCGGTGGGTCAGTATTAAGCGGCTGTCTAGAATGGCTGATTATATGGTAGAAATGACACTCGTAGCTAGGGAAAGGCAGATCTGACATACAGTTTGTGAAATCCTGTTGTGGTTAAGCACTTCGCAAATACAGTTTGCAAATACATGGTGTCTGAGATTGTGGAAAGGCCTTTGGTGGTTTCCGCTTGTTGTTTTTTGCCTGAGGTGTGAAGTAGAGTCAGAGAGGGTCAGTGTGTGGTGTGAGGATTTGTGCAGAATATTTGTGCACTCAAGCTACTGTTTTACTGGAGAGTGGTGTTTAGTAATTAAATGTTAGACAGGTTTCTTCACCAGGTGCTCCCTTCACTGCAGCACTGCAGTGTGGAAATGACTTTTGCAGCAGAGAGAGCTTGTAAAAGCAATTTATATTACTGAAAAGAAATTGTATATTGACAGTGGATATTTTTAGAACAGTGGGATTTATGATTGGGCGTAGCCACAGCTAGGGATACCTGTGGCAGCTAGTAAGATTCTGGCTGGATTGAGAATGTCTTATTAATACTCTTAAGAGCTATAGATTCACGATGAATGTTCAGTATATTGATGTATAATATATTCTGGGTTCTTCATTCCAGAAAAGCTCTTGCTGTGGTTTGTTTAT